TGTATTTTTGAGGATTTTTATTTAAATTATATTTCACGTAATTAAATAAAGTTTAATAGAAAATAACCTATAATATTTTAGTAAGTGTGAACTGAAAACCTTTCTCATAATGTATTGCTAAAATTGTAGTAATTAAATTAAACTAACTTTCAAAAAATTTATTATATTTTTTTACTAAGTAAACAAATATTTCTACGACAATTAATTGGGTTTGCAATCATAAGTTTAAAATTTCAAACTGGTACTTCTAATTTTTAAAAGGGTTCAATGAACAATTACATTCTTAACTAATTATAGCTTTTATCCTTAACTGGGATATATATATATATATATATATATATATATATATATTTCCAAATAGATCGATAATTTCACATATTTACTTAAGTATTCTCAATAAAATATTTACTAATAAGAAATTCTAATCCTATTAGGGCGTTAATCATATTTAATTAAGTACTGCTAGAAGACGACTTACAATCAGTTTAATTTTCCTTTTTTTGATTGGGCGCATTTTAATTATACCATGCTATAATGTATGCCAATTCGTATAATCCATTTGACTGAAATTATTTATTTATTTATTAAGGTTTGGGCCCAAATTTGTCTAATTGTAAGGAATTTTTATTTAAATTATATCTCACATAAATGAAGAAATTAGCCTAATTAAGATATTATTCTTACTTGGAATATATATTTTCAAATATATAGATATATTTACATATTTAGATAAGTACTCTCAATAAATTATGTTCCCAAAATATTACTTTATTGATTTAAAATTTTGCATTATTCAACCTATAACTTATTTAGTTAAATTTTCTGTATAAATTTCTTAGGTTTAATTACTTGCTCGTTTGGAGTCACTAGATTGGACTTTATCATTTTACACTGTCCAACATATAACTTGATTTAGATGAATTTTTTATATAAATGTTTTAGATTTAATTACTTACTCATTTGAAGTCACCAGGTTGGACTTCATTATTTTTGCACTGTCCAAACATATAACTTGATTTAGGTGAATTTTCTATATAAATTTCTTAGGTTTAATTACTTGCTCGTTTGGAGTCACTAGGTTGGACTTTATCATTTTACACTGTCCAACATATAACTTGATTTAGATGAATTTTCTATATAAATGTTTTAGATTTAATTACTTACTCATTTGAAGTCACTAGATTTGACTTTATCATTTTTGCACTGTCCAAACATATAACTTAATTTAGGTGAATTTTCTATATAAATTTGTTAATTTTTATTACTTATTCATTTGAAATCATCAAGTTGGACATTATCGTTTTGCACTATTCAATATATAGTTTAAGTTAGATAAATTTTCCACATAAATTTTTTGATTTTAATTATTTATTCATTTGAAGTCACTAGATTGGGCTTTATCATTTTGCACTATTCAAGATATAGCTTACTTAAGTTAGATAAAATTTTTATAATTTTTTTTGTTTTAATTATTTATTTATTTAGAATCACCAGGTTGGGCTTTATCATTTTCTACTATCCAACATATAGCTTGAGTTAGATGAATTTTTTATATAAATTTCTTAATTTTAATTACTTACTCGTTTGGAGTCACCAGATTGAATATTATAATTTTGCATTATTCAATATAAAATTTATTTAGATGAATTTTTTATATAATTTTCTTAAATTTAATTACTTACTCGTTTGGAGTCACCAGGTTAGATTTTATCACTTTGCATTGTCCAATATATGACTTTATTTAGATAAATTTTCTTTCTTAATCTTAATTACTTACTCATTTGAAGTCATCAAGTTGGATATTATCATTTTGTACTATCCAACATATAGCTTGAGTTAGATAATTTTTTTATAATTTTTATTTTTTTGATTTTAATTACTTATTCATTTTGAATCACCAAGTTGAGTTTTATCATTTTGTACTATTCAACATATAACTTGAGTTAGATGAATTTTTTATATAAATTTTTTAGTTTTAGTTAGTTACTCATTTGGAATCACCAAATTAGACATTATTGTTTTGCACTATCTAACATGGAGCTTGATTTAGATGAATTTTTTTATATAAACTTCTCGGCTTTAATAACTTTTCACTCAGAGTGACCAAGTTGGATATTATCATTTTACATTATCCAACAGATAACTTGATTTAAGTAGATTTTCTATATAAATGTCTAGTCTTTAGTGACTTATTTGTTTGGAATTTTTTACAATCTCCTCATCAAAATATATGGTAAAAAAAAATCTTGAAGGTTAAGATAATATCATCTGTAATTTTATACAACATTTACCTATTTCTAAATCATCCTTGTAGAACGATATGAGATGGCACTTCTTAGAGTTATTAGCAGCCATGCTTTCTTGCATATCAAAATTAATGAGATAATGAAAATAGTGTCTACATTTATCCGTAAATAAGTAAAATTTGAATAACACATATCAATTTAGAAGATTATATAATTAGTGATATACTTCCTAGTGTATATGTCAAATTCGAGAAGATAATGAAAATATTTTTCATATTTCTCCACACATGAATAATGAATTAGTAATAAAGAAATTATAAACCCGGTGATGAAATTATAGTAAAATTACAAAACTATCATAAAGTTTAACTTATTATATGTAAAATAATTTAAAATTTGGACAAAAAAATTTCTAAAGTACAGAATATCATACAATTACCACCTTACTTATTTTAAATGTCTATTTTACTGTATAAATCCCTCCCTAGGTTTAGCATACTAAGAGGAAATATAAAAGTAATATAAAAATTAAGAGGAGAAAAAAGCTCAGTATACAAAATTGAGCATAAAACCCTACAAGAACTTTCCCATGTTTCATATGCCTTTCTCAAAATTCTTCAACAACCATTTTCCTCTTCTCAACCTTAGGCATAAATGCTCTTACTGAAGCCTTTCTATATAATTATTCTGATTACGCTCAATCTTTCACCATAATGTGTTGTCTTCGATAGGAAGTTGTTTTTCTTAATGCTCTTGATGAGTGCTCATATTCTCTATTAATCTCCTCTTCGTTAATCCAAACTTATTGATTGGTTATTGGAATCCATAGGAACTTAAAATGTGTTTCCATAAGGGATTTCTCTACCCAACAAAATTTTTGGTTTATCTAACTAAATTTCTACATTCACTTCTTCATTGATTTCGACAATCTTCTCTACCCAACAAAATGAAAGAATTTAGACAATCACACTTTTAATTGAATAACCTCAATTGAAATTTGTATTCTCTTAAATATATACAAATAGGTTTACGTATTTTTATATAATGAAATAAAGAAATGAAACGAGTCTGTAGGATAATCTTTTAGGGGTTTTCTTCAAAGTCGCGGATACATATACTGATGTCTTAATAAATTTATAAAAATAATAGATTTATTACCTACTCAAAGAGCTTATATGTTTCCATATAGTGGATTAGGGGAGCGAGACAAGCCTGCATGGAGATTTCTTAGGTTCTTTTCAAAGTTGACTATATAATTTTTTATAACGATCAGTATTATCACTGTCATATATAATTTTTTTTTACATAATACAATTCTTGTGAATGGTAATAATTCCATAAATTTTTCCGGCGAACAAAAGCTCATGCTTGTGCAATTATATTTTTATCTCTAGTCTAAAGTTTTTCGTAACAAAAAAATTTTTGTACGCTTACCTCAAGTTGAAAACTCGCCTAAATCTTTCAAGGTATGGTACATAATAAATAAGAGATAACATACCATTGTATATATATACATACACATACACATATGTATATATAACAGAGACTAATCTCTCACATAAACATGTTTTTTATTTTGTATGGTGAATATAAACGAATAAATATTTTGGTAGATTCTCATAATTCATCATATATTAAAATGTTACACATTAACACATTTTATATAGATAGCGGTTAATGAGATCATAACACAACATTAAAAAATTAGTATAGTAAAATCTTTGAGATACAGTAAATATAGATATATACATATATAATCACGAAGAGGGTTTGAAGGAAGAAAGATTATATTAAGAACAAGATGCAATATCACTAAACGATTACAAGATACTTAAACAAATAACATAAAATAAGATGCCTCTTATTATCTAGACCAAACCTTTACTCATACTAGAAGCTAAAACCCTAAAACCAAATATAATGTAAATACCAATCTTGAGGCATTTACTTGGTAGAAAAAATTTAAAAGCTATTTTCAATAAACAACAAAAGTTCCCTTAGAAGAATCTTTGGCCAAATCAAGGATTTCGTGGGCGTAATATGCTTGGATTGTTGAATGGAACAGTGCTTGAATTGAATCCAGTAGGCTTTGTCTCAAATGGAAGACTTGCTCCACTAGAAGAACTTCCCAAAAAAAAAGGATGATAAGGATGCTGATGATGATGAGGATGAGGATGGGGATGAGGAAGAGGAAGATGACGATGATTATTTGAGGTATGAATCATAATCTTCTCAGCATGCTCGGCCACATTTTTCTTCAACTCATCAAGAGAGGCCTTCAATTGTAAAAGTTGTGCCAAGCTTAGATCCTCCTTAGGAGCCATCCACCAACACTGGTTCTCATTGGCCTTTTTCCATTGGTTAAGCTCCTCGCTTCGCTCCTTCTCAGTTTCGAGTTGGTTCAAAATCTGTATGTATAATAAAATTAATACACACTATTTATATTAAAAACGTTATATTAAAAAGGGAAGAAATCAAAATTACTTGACTGAGCTGCATGTTGAGCTCGCGAACATTGGCGTTTCGATGAGCCTCAATGAGTTTCATGGATTTAAAAGCAGCCTGTGGAGGATTACTACTAATAAAACGTTCCACAATAGTCTCAACACTAGGATGGCCAAAAGAGAAGACTTTTTGACTCGGTGAGAAGACGATTATAGCAATATCAGCCCCAGATAGAGTGCATAATTCGCTCGCCTTCTTGAAAAGTCCGGCTCGACGCTTGGAGAAAGTGACTTGAAGATTTCTTTCATTGTTCATCTTCACCATCTCAACCTTTTGTCGTCCCTTACTTTTCCTTGCCATGGTTACAAATACTAAATATGTATAGAGAGAAATCAAAAGAGAGACTAATGGAGAGAAATAATTTGTATAGAAAGAGGGGGAAAGGAGTGATATTTATAGGAGAGTGAACTCAAGATTTTGAATTAACATTTTAGATGGATATTATGTGTAGATTTTTATGTTTTTAATAACTTGCTTGTTTTGGGTTTCTTGAGAATCTCCTCCTTGTTAAAATATATGGTAGGAAAAATCTGGACAATTAAGATTAAATTTTAGGCATACTCTTAAATAATTTGCCAAATCATCATTTTCTTAACATATATAGATATATGGGTGGAGAGATATACATGAGACTTTGACCTTCTAGAAAATTGTCATTTTTTACACTATACACACACATATATATCTTCTCCTTGTACATGTTAATTTTAGATTCGAAAGGTAAGAGAGCTACTTCTAGTTATATTTATTTGCCCTTTGTTAAAAAACACGATAATTCAATCACTTTCTCAATAACTTACGCAATTGAAAAAAAGACTATGATTTATTTTATTGAATTAAAAAAAATATTTTTCTTTAGATAATTTATGTTAAAGTAAAAATAATATATATTAAAATTTTAAAAACTTTGATGAATATTTTATAAATTAATTGATCATTAGTACCATGGAAGAATTTAATTTTATTTATAAGCACTAGGGAAGGACCTAGGTCACAAATTAAACTTAAATTGATCAATTATACAACATTATGAGAAAATTTGATTTCTATTTATACCTATAAATTGGGTTATGTTAAAATTTAAAATTTTAAATATTTAAATTTAATTGTGACAATAGATTAGCCTTCATAAGAATAACATCCTAATTTAATTGCATGTGATATTCAATTAAACTAGAAATTTATGTAATTAAATCCAACTCTTAAACTGTAATTCATGTCCCATGATAAATTCTAATCCTGTTAGGATGTTAATCTAAAATCGACAGAATGAAATTTTCCTTCGAATCAGTTTTTTTTTTTTTTTTCTTTATATTTTTGTTAGAATTTTCTTCGAAGGGTTGAGTGCTTTCTTCTTCTTTTCCCCCTCTCAAGTCGAGCTTTTAATTGGTAAAGCACTTCAACTTACGTCGGCTTAAACCAAATCCAATTTCTATGCTCCATTTGATTGAAATTCTCTATTTAATACAGTTTGGTCCTAATATAAAATATTTTATGTAATTTATATCTCGTATAATTGAATAAAGTTTGTTAGAAAATAGGTAATTGTAAGGAATTTTTATTTAAATTATATCTCACATAAATGAAGAAATTAACGTTTATTAATGCCTAATTAAGATATTATTCCTACTTGGAATATATATTTTCAAATATATAGATATATTTACATATTTAGATAAGTACTCTCAATAAATTATGTTCCCAGAATATTACTTAATTTCTTTATTGATTTAAAATTTTGCATTATTCAACCTATAACTTATTTAGTTAAATTTTTTATATAAATTTCTTAGGTTTAATTACTTGCTCGTTTGGAGTCACTAGGTTGGACTTTATCATTTTACACTGTCCAACATATAACTTGATTTAGATGAATTTTCTATATAAATATTTTAGATTTAATTACTTACTCATTTGAAGTCACCAAGTTGGATGTTATCATTTTTGCACTGTCCAAACATATAACTTATTTAGTTGAATTTTCTATATAAATTTCTTAGGTTTAATTACTTGCTAGTTTGGAGTCACTAGGTTGGACTTTATCATTTTACCCTGTCCAACATATAACTTGATTTAGATGAATTTTCTATATAAATATTTTAGATTTAATTACTTACTCATTTGAAATCACTAGGTTGGACTTTATTATTTTTGCACTGTCCAAACATATAACTTGATTTAGGTGAATTTTCTATATAAATTTGTTAATTTTTATTACTTATTCATTTGAAGTCATCAAGTTGGACATTATCGTTTTGCACTATTCAATATATAGTTTAAGTTAGATAATTTCTTCATATAAAATTTTTGATTTTAATTATTTATTCATTTGGAGTCACTAAATTGGGCTTTATCATTTTGCACTATCCAAGATAAATTTTTTATAAATTATTTATTTATTTGGAGTCACTAGATTGGGCTTTATGACTAATATGAACAATTATTTATCTGAACACTCGATATATTTTTTATATTATTTTATAATTGATGTATATGTATCGTTTGATTAATTAATGTATATATGTACTAAAAAAAAGACTCGTAATTGTCAATGTAAAAACTAACTCATAAATATGATATGATTGAATTTATCATCTCTCGTACCTATTCACATATCATTTTGTCTAATATATACAATTCCCAAAATTGATTCATGTTCTCGTTGAAGCACAATTATATGACTTCAATACCTTGTTTTCTTATACTTAGCCATTACCTTTATCGTGAATTAATAAGTTAAAAATAAATTATTTGAAGTATTTTTTCCTATTACCATTCATAAAATAGTGTATCAGATTCAACTTAAAAAGAAAAGTAAATGCATAAATAAAAAAGTTATATTATTATTAAAGTCTTTGAAAGTACCACGACACTACAATGAAAAGGAACATGATGAAAACCCAAATGCTAAGGCAGCAGATATCTAATAGAATAAAATAAAACAAACTGCAAGCATTGTGTTTACAACTCTTCTTAAATTCATCATTCCAAGACTTAGTCAAGAAATGCACTAAGTAGAAACTTATTTGCCAATTTCCTTGATTATACATATTTGGATTATTGTTGACCTCATTTGGTATCATATTTGGGTTGTTCAACACATGGGGCATCATATTTAATTCGTCCTGAATTATAATCGTCTCAGCTTCTTCAATAACTTTCTTCTTCCATTCTTCAAGAGATGTCTTTAAATGCTCAAGTTATGAGAAACTCATTTCCTTTTTCGGACCCATCCACCAACACTTACTCGCACATATCTTTTGTTTTTCCTTAAGCTCTGCTTTGCGATTTTTCTCAATTTCCAATTGATTCATAACCTATTCTCATATTTTTCAAATAATAAGTACAATTCGATATAGATTCTAATCCAAGAAAAAAAAAGATTAAATAATTATAAGAACTTCTAAAATCTAAATATGATCTAATTAAGCCTATGTGAGAATCATATTAAGCTCATGTATCCTTGAGTTGCGGTGAACCTCAATGAGATTCATGGCTCCTAAAGTAGCTCGTGGAGAATTACCACAAATGAAATCTTTAATCACCTTTTTAACACAAGGATGACCAAACGAAAAAATCTTCTTACCAGGTGAGAAAATGATAATTGCAATTTCAACGCTATAAAAAGTGGACAATTCACTAGCTTTCTTAAAAATACCAGCTTTTCGTTTTGAGAAAGTGACTTGGGGGTTGGTTTCATTACTCATCTTCACCATCTCAATCTTTTGACGACCTTTGTTTTTCCTATCCATGACTAAAAGTGAAAGAAAGAGACAATGTGAAGAAGAGATAATAAAAGTTTTATTATTTGCTAGGAAGAGATAGAAAATGAATAACATATTATGAGAGTCACCAGACTAACATTATCATTTTGCACTATCCAATATATAACCTGATTTGGATGGAACTTTTGCACAAATTTTTTAACTTTAATTACTTACTTATTTGAAGTCCTCAGGCTAAATATTATCATTTTACACTATCTAATATATACTCAATTTATAAATTACTTACTCATTTGGAGTCATCAGGCTGGATATTATCATTTTACACTATCTAATATATAACTTGATTTAGATGAATTTTTTATATAAATTTTTTATTTGGAGTTACTAGACAGAGTATGATAATTTTGCATTATTCAACATATAACTTATTTTAGATAGATTTTTTATATAAATTTCTTAGTTCTATTTACTTATTTGAAGTCACCGTATCATTTTGCACTACCCAATATATAAATTAATTTATAAATTTCTTAGTTTTATTTTTTCACTCACTTGGAATCACCCGGCTAGGTATTATCATTTTGCAATATCCAACATATAACTTGATTCAGATGGATTTTCTATATAAATTTATTTTTTTGAATTACTTACTCAATTAAAGTTACCAGGCTTGATATTATCATCTTGCACTATCCAATGTATAACTTGATTTATAAATTTTTTAACTTTAATTACTTACTCATTTGATATAACACTATCCAATTCTATATAAATTTTTTTATCTTTAATTACTTACTCATTTGGAGTAACCAGACTGACCATTTTTATTTTATACTATCCAATAAATAAATTGATTTATAAATTTTTTACATTTAATTACTTATTCATTTGGAGTCACCAGACTGGATATTATCATTTTGCAATATCTAACTTATAGCTTGAGTTAGGTGAAATTTCTACATAAATTTTTTAACTTTAATTACTTACTCATTTGGAGTCACCAAGTTGGACATTATCATTTTGCTCTATCCAATACATAGTTTGATTTAGATAAATTTTCTATACAATTTTTTTAGTTTTAATTACTTATTTGTTTGGAATCATCAAGTTGGACATTATCATTTTTCACCATCCAACACATAACTTGATTTAGATAAATTTTCTATATAATTTTTTTTTTCATTTTGATGACTTACTCATTCGGTGTAACCAAGTTGGACATTATTATTTTATGTTGTCCGATATATAATTTGATTTAGATGAATTTTCTATGTAAATTTCTCGACTTTAATAACTTACTTGTTTGGAATGCTTTACAATCACCTCATCGAAATATATAGTAAAAAAAATCTTG